CAATTCTTTCTTCATAAGTTCCTAGGGACTCAATCAGTAAATGCACTCATTTTTTTCCCGACCAGGACTGAACCCACTTCCCAGGCATTGGAAGCTTGGAATTTAAACCACTGGACTGCCAGGGAAGTCCCAGTTCATGCCCTGTTTAATCAGTGAGTGGGCACCAGTTTTGGGCAAGGTCCATGTTGGCTCTTCTGTGAGGGGAAAGGTAAGCTTGGACCTTGCACATTGAACCCACATTCCAGGCAATGGGAGCCAGATCTCCCAGTGAGATACAGTGGCCAAACTTGCCTCCCATCCTTAGAGCCAGAACCTCTGAGTGTGACTCCTGTCTCCTTCAATTTCACAAGTTATTCAAACCGTCTATGTCTTAGCTTCCTCGTGTATAAAATGGGCACAACGGCAACACCTACCTCACAGGATTCTTATAAGGACTAACCCAGTTAATACATGTGATCTAGTTAGCCTGGTAACTGGCAGAGAGTCAGTACTCAGGCAGTGTTAGCTATTATTTTATTGGCTGCATGTTACACTTCATTTCAAGGCTAATACTCATACCTCAGCTGGTAAAATGATGCTGGTGACATGAAAAGTATTTTAAGATCTACTGTAACTTGAGTTAAAAGCAAGTTACAGCGTTTTTCCCTCTCTCAGGGTTGTAAGGATATGTTCAGGATGGTACAGATTACTTCGTAGTGGTTTTCACCCTTTGCTTTAGGCTTCAATCTATTTTCCAAAAAAATGTTAACATAGGAATGTGAAGAGAAAATAGTTGTTTTAAAATATTAAATAGCAACAATTTTAAAAAGATTTTACAGGAGTTCCCTGGTGGTCCAGTGATTAGGACTTGGTGCTTTCACTGCCGTGGCTGGGGTTCCGTCCCTGGTCAGGGAACTAAGATCCCACAAGTTGCATGGTGTGGCAAAAAAAAAGAATTAAGATTTTACGTGTCCTAATTATCAGTTTTTTTGCTAAGCTAGAATCTCAGCTTCATGACGGCAAGAGGCAGTGACGTCTCAGAATGTGGCAGCGCTTCCTTTAGTCGGTGCCCAGTTCGGTTTTAGACGGGCCCAAAGCCACGAGGGGCTTCCCTGGGGGCTCAGCGGTAGAGAATTCACCTGCCGATTCAGAAGGCTCAGGTTCGATCCCTGGGTGGGGAAGATGCCTTGGAGGAGAGCATGGCAACCTACTCCGGTATTCTTGCTTGGAGAATCCCATGGACAGAGGAGACTGGTGGTCTACGACATAGCGACGAAGCAACAAGAAAAGCCATAGTAGGATGGGGCCAAACTTGACGTTTATTCCTCCCCCCTCTTTCTCCCCGCATCTCTTGTATTGCTCTCTCTGGCACCCATCCAAAGAACTAATACCGTTCTTCACTCACTCACATTACTGAGAGTTCATGGGCACCCAAAGATGAAGAGGACTCTGCGCTCAGCGGCCGGTGGCCTCATCCTGCCCCTGCCGACCATCCGTTGTGATGGCCGGTAGCCCTCCGCCCAGTCTTTGCCCTTCCCCAGCCCTGCGACCATCCCCTGCAGCGCGCACACCTGCCCCTGCTCCAGTTTGTCGCGGATGACATAATCCCTGCGCATCAGCCCTGATATCCCTGGGCATCAGTCGGGTCTTGGCAGAAAACAGCACTGCACTCAAAAGGGCTTAGCCAATAATTGAATAAAGAGACCGCTCGCAGGGCGGTGTCCGGGGTTCATGGCAGCAGCCAGGCAAGCGAACGCCCCACCCCCAAGCACAAGAAACACAGGAAGCCATGGCGACCCGCAGGCCTGCCGTGGAAATTGTGTAACCGGAGCTCATTGAAGTACTGTGATTACCTGTGGTCACAGAGGACACAGACATCGCTGGTCCCCGGCATGGAAGCCGAGAGAGAAGGAGGGATTACCCTCGGCTGTCTCATCTCCTGCCAGCGCACTTTGGGCTGAATCCCTAAGCTGAAGTGCAAGGATGCCCAAGAGAAATGGTCCACCTGGCAATGGGCCGCTCTCCATACTGACAGCTTCATGGCAGTTCCAGATTAAAAATGCCATCAGAAAAAAAAAATGCCATCAGTTTCAGCTGGGGAGATAGTTTAGGTCAGACCTCTTCATATCAGGCCTTCTGAATAATTAATCCTCCAATTCCTGCTTCTGTGGGTCATGGGGATTTCTCGCCAAAAAACTAAAATAATGCATTGCAGTTTTGTAGTCTTTTTTTTTCTTTCACATTTTATTCCAGTTAGATTTGAAGCAAATCTACCGGGTGATGGATACTTTGATGATTTGAGTACCTGGACTCTCTAGAACACCTTTAGTTTTAATTTCATAGTAAGCCTCAAAGACAGAGTGCACAAAGATGCGCTGAAGTAAGGCTGACAGTGACCAGGGGGCACGCCCGCGACTGTGAGGGGTCTCTTCCCCGCATCTAAGCTGCAGTGATTGGCAGCAGTGCCTCCACACCTGGCCAGGGGGCAGGGAGCAGAGGGAGGCGGCTCCTGGCTCCACGAGGAGAGAGAGAGGAGGTGGGCAGCAACGGCTTCCTCCCTCCCTTCCAGCAGCAGCGTACCTTCATCCCCATCCACTAGTTAAGATTCTCCCCCAGGGCGCTGCCTTTGCTGCCAGCTCAGCGGTTTCCTTCCTTTAGGAGGAAACGTCCTGGCCGAGAAACAACGGCTCCTTCCACGCGCAGTCCACTTTCGAGTTCAAAAGCAAGTACCCACACGCGTACCCACACACACGATCCCACTGGCTCCACGCGGCCCTGGTCCTGTCACAGAGCTGCACCTTCAGCAAGATGAGGAAACCAAGCCCCCCGAAGGCGCGCGGCAGGCAGGTCACTGGACGGCGGGCCTGTTTTCCCGACTCCCTGAGACATTCTTCGCTCCCCGCCCAGAATGATAGTTTCTTCGGGAAAGAAGAGAAGCAAAGGACTTAATGGTGGACAGCGCCGGTTACAAGGGAGGAAATCGTGTGTTGAGGATGAATGCACCAGAGCTCCGGTTCGCAAAGTGCCATCCCCAGGGACTTCTCTGGTGGCCCAGGGTTAAGACTCCATGCTTCCAATGCAGGGGGCACAGGTTCCATCCTTGGTCAGGGAGCTACTATCTCACATGCCGGGTGGCATGGCCAAAACATTAAAATAAAGTGCCGTCTCCTGACCACCACCAGCAGTAACCGGAAACTTGTGATAAACACAAATTCTTAGACCTCAGCCCAGACCTGCTAAATCAGAAACTCTGGGGCAAGAGGAGGTTCAGGAACCCAGGTTTGAAACAGGCCTCCAAGAGATGCTGATGTAGGCCAACGTTTGGAACATGTGCATTGAAAGAAGTGTGAGTGTGTGTGCACGGTACACGGGAGGGCACACACATACTGCTGCTGGGACAAGGAGGAGCTGGGAGGGCAGTTCTTGTTTCTGTGAGTTCCAGGGATGCTGCTGAGGGGCAAGTGAAGACCGGAAGAGGCCCTTGAGGCACTGATTATAGCAGCAAAAGACTAGAAGCAACTCATGTGCCCACCGATAGAGGACCGAGCGCCTGCGTGACGGTGTATCTGTGCAATGCAACACTACGCAGTGTGAGAAAGAATATGAGGCTTGGGATGCTTTGATATGCAAAAAAATCCAAGCTATATATATAGAGAAAGAAAGAAAGAAAAAGTGTAAGTTTATATGTTACTTGATGTATAAAAATGAGACCATTTGCCACAGCATACATGACAAATACTGTATGATTTCACTTCTATGTGGAATTAAAAACAAGCTATGGAGAACAGACAGGTGGTTGCCCTAGGTGAGGGGTGTGGGGTGGGTGAAATGGATGAAAGGGATCAAGAAGTACAAGCCTCCAGTTATATCACATGTAAGTCCTGAGAACGTTAACGTCCAGCGTGGTGATGATAGTTAACAGTACTATATTGTAGATTTGAAAACTGTAAGAGTATCTCTTTAAGTTTCTCATCACAAGAAAAAGAAAGTGTGAGGTGAGGGATGTTAACTAGATGCATTGTAATAATTTTACCACAAAATATACATGTATCAAATGATCCTGTTGTACACCTAACACTAATACAATGTTAAGTGTTGATTATGTCTCAATGAAACAAAAAATAGGAGATATAAGAATGTATGTTTGTATTTAGTTGTACCTACAAGATACTGTGAACAGATAGACCAAAAACCAATAAGAGAGGTACCAGGGGGAACGGGGGACTTCCCTGGTGGTCCAGTGGTTAAGACTCATGCTTGCAAAGCGGGGGCTCTGGGTTGATCGCTGGTAGGGGAACTAAGATCCTACAAGCCCCACGGCCAAATGAAGAACAGAGAGACAGCAGTAACGGTGGTTGGGGGAACAGGATGAGGGGTCCAAGGGAGCCAGGCTCAGCCCACACCCACCGCTTCTCCCCTCCAGCTGCAACCTCCCCAAATGGCCGAAGAGCTTTGGGTGCGTTTAGACTCATTAGTAAGCCCCAGGACCAGCAGTTTTCAGCCTTGGTTTCACATTAAAATCATCTGGGAGGCTTTAAAAAACAATAATGTCCAGGTTGCATTCTGCCCAGATTGGCACCTCTGAGATGGGGCCTGGATGTTGGATTTTTAAATATTTTATTTATTTTAAAGTCTTTGTTGAATTTTTACAATACTGCTCCTGTTTTATGTTTTTTGGGGTTTTGGCCATGAGGTATGTAAGATCTTAGCTCCCTGAGTAGGGAGCGAACCCATACCCCCTACGACGGAAGGCAAAGCCTTCACCACTGAGCTGCTGCGGAAGCCCCGCGGACGTTGCTATTTTGCAAGCTCCTCATTCACATTCTGAAACTCCTGTCTTGGACCTTCTGGGTTGGTTCATTGATCCAGAAAGCCGGGGAAAGGAAGAGAGGATTTCCAGTAGCTTTAAAGAGGAAATGCCACAGCCCATCAAACTTGTCGAGATCAAGTCTGAATGCGACTAGTGTTCATCTGACCTAACCAGGGTGCGTGATCAAACTGTTTTCTCCTGCTCCGCAGCCCAGTTCTCAAACGAAGCCCTGACATTACCAAATCGCCGCTAACAAAGTCAGAGCAGCTTCTGAGGATAGATGACCACGATTTCAGCATGAGGCCTGGCTTTGGAGGTATGAGGCATGCACTCCTGGGGCTTGTCTTCTTTGCAGGTCCTTCTGTCTGTCTGTGGGCAGCATCAGACCTGGGAACCATTCAGCATTGCTCCCTACCCCAATCAGGTCTGCCTAGGTTGTGAGCAAGGCCTGAGCCCTCAGCATCATCTGAGCACCTGCCCTGGCCAGCCTGCCTTGGGCTCTGCTGAATGCATTCTTGGGAGGCAGCTGCTGGTTGGTGGCCTGGCCAGCAAAGCTGTCCTCAGGCCACAGCTCCCAACAAGGATGTCTCAGTATCAGGGAGGCTAGTAGCTGGCAATGGGGACAGTTGCGGTCCAAAGTTGCCTCCTGAAAATGCTCTGAAATAGCGATCTTTTTTTTAATTGGGTCTTTTAAATTTATTTCTTGATTTGTGGGAGCAGTTTTTGAAATTTTCTTAAATGATGCTCACTTTCATAGCTCCTAGAAATGCATAATTTTTTAAATAAAATGTAAAAGTTCTGTCTGCAGTATATGTTTAAAAATGCACAATAATCATACCCCTGAAATCACAACTGCATTATCAATTTAATGTGAAATACCAATCTTGGACTAAATTTGTTCTTATCCTGGAGCTGGCAGACAGAACTCTGGGCCCATATCCTAGGGTAGAGTGTGGTCTGCTGAGTTTAATTAAATGAAAATTGTTTAGAAAATAATGATTTAGTGCCAGAGCCCTTTGAAGCTTAGCCTGCAGCTGCCAGATTTCAGGTTTCTTAGAGTCAAATAGGGTTTTCATTCTTATGAATTTTGCGTTTTCTTCCCCCCTGGGAAAAAATATTTATTTCAGAAATCGTTCTCATGCCTTTTATTTCTTCCAGTCACTTTTGCCTAAAGGATAAACAGGTTCCAGAAGGGAGTCTTTCTTCAGTCCTTAATCTGCTGCTGTTGGGCCCAAAGTCACCTTTTCACTCTGTGATGATGCTCCATGATGACATTGTGCCGATGTTCCATGCCTGTCCTGTACACCTGAAAGCAGGGAGGAAAAGAGGCAGCAATCTACTTCCCTGATAATTCTTTCTTTTTATAAATATTAAGTTTTTATGGCCTAGAAATGCCCCCCAAATATAATGTTTTCACATCCACCCAGTGTATAACATCCCCCATGGAGGCGACTCCATCATCTAGCAAAGATGCAGATCGGTACCTTGGCAAATGTTTTGAATATGACCTTGGTTCTAATTCACCAACAGGGCCTTTCTCCTGGCCAGAGACACTGGCTTCCAAGATGAAAGAGGGTGCAAAATCAGGAGGTAATACAAAAATTAAAAGACGTGTGACTTCATGTTGAGGAGTAACTCTTATTTAGATGGGACCCAACATTGACTCAAATCTCATCGTTCCTTTAAATGATCATATGTAACCAAAGACAAATGCTTTGTATTAACTTCCTCGTTTCAGAATCACCTGACTGATTCAAAACAAAAAGAATTTTTTTTTTTTTCCCTTAGCTGGAATATTCCAGGGAGCGAGCCCATGATGCCACACCTTAATCTCTGGTTTGACTCTAGCCTGGCATGTGGGACACCAAACCTTCAAATCTGAACGTTCTAGGAGAAATACTCCTTATGCCTGTCTCATTCAAAGTCAGAGTTCAAGTAAAAAGAGTAAACCTCTTGCCACGCTCTGTCCCCAGGGCCGGCCATTCCTGTGGGCGTGGACGTGCAGGTGGAAAGCTTGGACAGCATCTCGGAGGTGGACATGGTAAGTGCTTCTCTGACCAGGGCTGCGGGTGGGGGATTCCCTCAGGCCCTGCGCTGGTCCAGGAACTCCACACACCAAAATTCCCCGGGCTCACCACTCCCGGCAGTGGGAATTCACGCACTCATTTTACAGGCAGCTCAGGGAGGTTGAGACACCTGCTCAAAGCTGCTCAGCTGGTGTGAAACAGCCGCACGGCAGACGTGATCGTCCCCACCCCAGGGTCCAGCCCTCGCCCCTGGGCAGTGTTCTCTGGGCAAATGCCGTCCAGCACAGACAGCGGGATCCAAGAGCCAGACACAAGCTACTCCTGTGGACTCCGTGTCTGGCTGCGAAAATGCAGAAAAAGCTCTGTTTTTCTTTTTCAAATGGGCTTAGATTGACAAATAGAACATTCTACAACTCCTTGACTGACAGGACCTTGTAGAAAGTTGTCTTAGCTGGGGAGAGGCAGAGCTGAGACTAGCCTTCTGGCACGAGCCGTTTAGTGGCAAACCTGCTCCAGCATTCCCGCCTGGAAAGCTCCATGGACAGAGGAGCCTGGTGGGCTACAGCTAACGGGGCTGCAAAGAGTCAGACCCGACTGAGCTCACACAGGCACCAAGGAAATACGAAAAGAGTGGGGGCGCTCTCTGATGGTCCAGGGCTCAGGACTCCACACGTTAACTACTGAGGGCCTGAGTTCAATTCCTGGTCAGGGAATGAAGATCCTGCAAGCCTGTGTGTGTGTGTGTGTGTGCGCGCGCGTGCGCATGTATGCGTGTGTGGGTGCGTGTGCGTGTGTGTGTGTGTGTGCCTGCTAGGTCATTTCAGTCATTTCCAGCTCTGTGTGATCCCATGGACTGCAACCGCCAGGCTCCTCTGTCCATGGGATTCTCCAGGCAAGAATACTGGAGTGGGTTGCTGTGCCCTCCTTCCGGGGATCTTCCTGATCCAGGAATCAAACCTGCATCTCCTGGGTTTACCTGTATTGGCAGGCAGGTTCTTCACACTAGCACCACCTGGGAAACCCATATATATATATATATATACATATATATATATGTATATGGTTGTGTCAAAAAAAATTATCTATATAAGAAGAGGGTGGAGAGGTGAGATAGGGAAAGGGAAGGAAGCAAAAACGGTCATGTCATCAAATCAGGTCTATGTGAGAATCAATCCCTCTGGGCTTCTCTGGGAGTCAGCAAAGAGCTCACCTCGGGGTTGTCCCCACTCTGGGGCAGAGAGCTGGGTTACCCACCCCCTTACTCATCCTCAGCCCCACTCTGGGTCCAGAGAGCTGCGTTACCCACCCCCTTTCCCATCCCCAGCCCCGCTCCCTGGCTGAGGGCTGGGTTACCCACCCCTTTCCCATCCCCAGCCCCGCTCTCTGGCTGAGGGCTGCTTCCGGCAAGAACTCTAGGCTGGCTGGTGGCCCTGTGTGTGGGCAGGCTGCCCTCAGGCTGGGGTCCCAGCACTGGCGGGAGCAGCCTTCTGCAAGCGGAGGCAAGCGCCCAGGGGTGGGGTGGGGTGGGAATCAGGCCCCCTCTGTAGGGCCTCCTGCTGAGTCCCGCCAGCAGGGTTCCCTGCCTCCCGAGGCAGCAGAGACTAGAAGCCAGGCCTCCCTGGGCTCAGCTCACCCCGTAGCCTGGGGGTGGGGGTGCAGGACGCCCTGCGATCCCCCGGCCGGTCACTGTGGGCTCCCACCCTGCCCCTGGTCCCAGGACTTCACGATGACGCTCTACCTGCGGCATTACTGGAAGGACGAGCGGCTATCCTTCCCGAGCACCAACAACCTCAGCATGACCTTCGACGGCCGGCTGGTGAAGAAGATCTGGGTCCCCGACATGTTCTTCGTGCACTCCAAGCGCTCCTTCATCCACGACACCACCACAGACAACGTGATGCTTCGGGTCCAGCCCGACGGCAAAGTGCTCTATAGCCTCAGGTGAGCCTTCCCGGCCTCCTTCCGGGCCCCTTCCCTTGCGTCCTCTTAAGCCCGAAGCTGGGAAGAAGTGCAACTCGTTTGTCAGTCAAGAGAGTCATTCCCCCCACCACAGCGCTTTGGCTTTGGGCTTGAACAGTGAACTTCTGACTTTCCAGGGGCTCTGACTTTCCAACATCAGGAAAACCTACCCCTACACATGAATAAACCTTTTAAAGGATTGTTTCTCCTTGAAAGTATATTTGGGGAAATTTCTCATACGGATGCTTATGATTTAGGCCCTGTTCAAGTTCAATTTCAAATGTTTAAGGAAGGTTTTCTTTCTCTAGTAGGAGTCAAAGAAGTAGATAATGTAATTCTTCGCAAAGACCTGCCTCATTTGACCTCTCTGATTCCCATTTTGGAATTTTGCTTTTGAAAAAAAAAAAGTGTTTTTTCTCTCCTGTTGTGCTTTTGGGTTTTTTTTTTTTATTTCTTTTTCCCCGGGTTTTCTTCTTTGGGAACTTTTGGGGCCCCCGGGTCCTTTGGGGTTTTTAATTGTTTTTTTGGGCTTCCTTTTGAAACCTTAAGGATTAAATTCAGGGGTTCGGTTGCTTTGGAATTTTTTTTTTCTTCTTTTTCTTTCTTCCTTCCTTGCTTTCATTCATTTATTCTTTCTGTACAGTTGATTTACAATATTACATTAATTTCAGGTGTATGACATAGTGATTCTGTGTGTGTATAGACTATACTCCATTTACAGTTATTATAAAATATTGGCTATGTGTCCTGTGCTGAAGAGTGGCCTTAGAAATGTTTAACTGCTCATTAAGCACTGACCTAGATAACCTTCCCTTAGCACAGACGTCGCAGAGGGGCTTTCCCTGGGGGCCCCCTTGAGAAAATCTCGGTGCCCACCTCCCCCTGGAGCACGTGTAGAATGAGCTGCAGGCCTTCACGGAGCAGCGCCTCGGCTACTGGCTGAGATTTACTCCTCCTGTGCTGTGCTGAGAGTGCGTTTCAGTTTTACAGGCTTTATTTTGGTGAAGCTGAATCCACACACCAGTGTCTAAGTAGGGAGTGCCTGCACCGATGCAGTGTATCTTTAGAGTCAGAGATGGCAATGTTGAAGCTGAATCTCTGCCCCTAATGAATATTTATAGTAATCTTTCATTGCTGCATCCTGGCTTAGAATCTAAGCAGGTAGGTACCAGACTCAGAGTTTTACTTCTGTTTTTAACAGAACTTTAATTTTTAATAATGGTTATGTTTGGGACTTCCTTGGTGGCCCAATGATTAAGACTCTGAGCTTCCAATGCAAGGGGGGATCTATCCCTGATCAGGGAACTAAGATCCCACATGCTGAGCAGGAAAGCCAAAAAAAAAAAAATTATGTTCAACAAGGGGCTTGTAAACTTCTGATAGTCTAGCAGGCAGGTCTCATGAACTGGTGGGGGTCCGGTCCGGCACTATTGAACGTGACATCAGAGGCAGAAGAGAGGAAAGAAGTTGTCAGTGAGACTCCAGGTGCCTAAAAACATATAATTTGATTTTTCATTGCAAATGAAATGATGGGTTTGTTTAAGAGAGAAATAAAGAGGTCTGAGTTAGTGAGGGCTATCACTTTGAGATTTATTTGGGGGAAAACAGGGAGGAGCTGGATACTGTCACCTCTGTCAACAGCAGGTTAACACTAAATCAGTACTAATATGTTGCTCTCCGCCTCATCCACACTCACTGATCCATTCAATAGAATGTGTTCATATTAAGTTTGGCCCCCAGAGCTGTGCAGATAAAAACCCTGTCAGGTCTTGTCTTAAGCTCTGGGCACATAAAGATGAATACTATAAAGTCAGTGAGCTTAGCATGACTGCAGCCTAGTGGGGGAGACCTGCAGGAACCAAAGGATTGATGTAGAGACAGGTACGGACTCCAGGGAGGGGTGGGCGGGGAGTGGCAGGTAAGGATGGTGAAGTTTCCTAGGCATCAAGAAACGATAACAAGCGAAATTCACAAATGAGATGCTCCATCACACTAGGTGGATTGAAAAATCAATTCCACGGTTCCTGAATTCCCAGTCATTTTCAAGATTTGAGAGTCAATGATTGTTGGGAGGAAGAGATTGTTCTTGGGAGAGAGGTGTGGGCATGCCATTTGCTGGACTGCACGGGACACTTGTGTGCCTATGGTTGGGGGACACTACAGCTAGAGGCTGAGAGAAGAGCTGTCTAACCACTGAGGGCAGAGCTAGAAGGAGTTTTGGCCGTGATGGGGCCAGTCTGCACACCCAGGCTTGTTGGGAATAGTTCAGCATGTGGGGCATGGAGAGTGGTGAGCCAAGAGATGGAGTGGAAGATGTTGCTGGAGGATGGAGGTGCCCCACGGAGGGAATGAAGGACCTGGGGAAAAAGTCTCAGCTTCAACCACATAGTGGTCCCAGAGAGCTTGAAACCACCTCACCAGAGAACCATCCCCCTCTTATCTCCCTCTACCCCTGTAGGAGGTGATAGAGACGGGCAGACACTGACCACTCAAATGCCAACTCTGTGCCTTAGCTGGGAAGGGGGAGCAGAAGTCTTAATGTGAGTGAAGTTTGAAGTGTCAATACATTGGACCAAAACTCTTTGTTTCTGAACTGAGATATGTTTGGTTACTTCTGAGGGTTTTGAGCGCCTGTTACATGAGAGGCGTAAGCAGGAAAATCTCAGGACTGGCCAAGCGTCCAAGGGAAGATGCTCTAGATGAAATAATTTAAAAGGACTTGAGGGAAACAACAGTGAGTGTGGGTGAGATTACACCACATGCGCTGCTTGTTCAATGCTTGGGTTACAAGTGGAGAACCATGAAGTCAGGGTGCCAAGAACAAGTCTGATGAGGTCTGTGATTCTGCAACGCCTGTTCCTGCATCGATTGGCAACAGAGAGAAGGGCTATTTAATACTTTTGTTCATAGCAAAACCTACCTGCATTTGACATCTGATGTCCCCAAAGTTTGCCACAAGTGTCTCCAAGCTTAGCTCCCAGTTTCTTTCTTGCTGGTGACGCTATCAGGTGTGGCTGTGCTGGTGATGTGCCCATAGAAATGCGAGCCCACCCATTAGGTGTCCAAGTCAGAGGCTGGCCTGACCACCCCCAGAAAAACATCCTGTGTATCAGTATTCCCAGGAGAGACAAGATGATCCAGCTGATAACAATACAAGATCGCTCCCAGATCACAACATTCAAATGGAATGAGGAAAATAAGGCAAATATCTGGATAACTGAGTTTCAAAAAAGCTCTTTTCCTTGAAATTTCCATTTAAAAGTGATTTTTCTTTTTGGCCATGAATTATCTTGATAATTTTCATAACTTATACATAGCAAATTTTCTGTGGCTGAAGGAAAAATAGGATGTTCACTAGCTAATGACTGGTAATCATACCCTGCCATGAAATTCCACACTGGGTGGGAGATCTTTCTTTATGATTAATGATCTGTATTTGCTTATTCTTTGATGCAAAAGCCAATTTTCCTGTGTAAACTCTAAAGCAAAACCATTAGATGCCAGCAAGTGCTTGCATGTTGATGCATAAGATCTTCCAGTGTTTTTCCATTATTATGATCTCCACGGAATTATCCACTCAGAACACCTGAGCCCACTAGTAGATGTTATTATCAATATAGAAATATCAACATTGTAAAAAAAAAAAAATAAAGTGCCTAATTTGGCAACTGGCATAAATACTTCATGAATATTATTGTAAAAACATTGTACACAAATACTGAGTTTCAGTAAAATCAAGAAAAGAAGAATTTGAATGAATCTGAAACAGGAGAGCAATGTATTCCTATGGTTTCGTTTAAGAAACCATATGAGTTGTGGTTTCACATTGTTTTATTTTTTATTTTTAATTTCAGGAGTGGCTCTTTTAAAAAAATGTTTATTGAATTTGTTATACTACTGCTTCTGTTTTATGTTTTGATTTTCGGGCCACAAGGCATGTGGGGTCTTCGCTCCCTGACCAGGGGTTGAGCCTGCAGCCCCTCCACTGGAAGGCGAAATCTTAATCATTGGACCACAAAAGAAGTCCCCACACTGTTTTATCGATGGAGATCATTGCTTCTCTAAAATGCTTGCTTGCAATGGGGGTTAGCGGAGTCATTGTCGGCCCCATGGTGAGCCTGGGGTTAAACATAAACACCCAAGGGTACTCCAGAGTGGAAATCACACATAAGCTGCCTGGTTCTCTGGGTCCTGGCACACTGCTTAAGAACTATAAGGAGGCAGTTATGTGGGAGGAGGCAGAGGCCTTTTCTTTCTGTTTTACCATTTTGCGCTTATGCATTGCGGCCTCCGCACATTGGGATTTTATCTGTTTGTTTCCAGGGTTACAGTGACTGCCATGTGCAACATGGACTTCAGCCGGTTCCCCCTGGACTCACAAACGTGCTCGCTTGAAATTGAGAGCTGTGAGTAAGCCTGTGCCCAGACAGCCCCCGCAGACCCTAAGTTACCCTGGACACCTCCGACTCTCAGGAGTAGGAGCAGGACGTCTTCCTATTCGTGATCTGCTTTTTTTTTTTAACATGAAATTTAATCTCTTAATACATTTTAATTAATTTATTTTTAATTGGAGGGTAATTGCTTTACAATATCGTGTTGGTTTCTGCCATGTATCATGAGTTAGCCGTAGGTATATGTATGTTCCCTCCCCCTCAAACCTCCCTGCCACCTCCCACCCCATCCCAGCACCCCTCTAGGTTATCACAGGTGACTGTGCTTTTGAGATGACTTTTCAGATAGAAGCGACGTCTCGGGTAAGTTTGAAAATCAGGAACAAATTTGGCACTAAGACCTTCTATTCCCATAACTGACCCTTTCAATACTCATGGCAGTGGTTACAAACTTGGTCCTGTGGAAACTGAAGGTTTCCCAGTTCCCCAGGGCAGTTCCCCAGGCAAGCACTCATCACACAGCCCACCAGAGAGCTCCTTGTGGATCTCTTTTATTGCTCTTCTGAGTACGATTTCCCCTGAAGAAAGAATTTCCTGGCAAAAACAACTGGGCAGCAGCTGCCCCAGGGGACAGCACTGTGAGTGAGACATTCAGGCATGACCTAGGGGCCTCGGGAAACTCACACACGCAGAAGTCCCGGAAAAGTAAAGAGCCGTAGGAGGACCAAGGCTGCGGCCGCGTCCAGGACTGGCATCCCTAGCTCTCTACGCATCTGCCCCGTGCTCCAGTCTGCCAAAATGCTTTCTCTGACCGTCACAGCCTGGTCCCCCCCCGTGACTCCTACACTCGTCTCGAACCAGCGCCCAGCCCTGACACGTCCCAGCCCATGCCAGAGTCCCAGCGAGGACTTTCGTTGGCCCAGGGCATCTTGCTGAGCCTGCCAGGGCTGTGGTGGTGGATCAGGAGTCCCCTGGCTCCAGTCACCCAGGGCTGAGGGGCGCAGGGACACGGACTCCACACGTAGGACGGACAGGTCTGCGGGCTGCTCCGCGTGGGGTCAGGGAGAATAAGTCCCAGGACCGAGGGAGCGGCTGCCTCGCACACTGTGGCTTTCCGCCTGCTCTGCCCTTTAACCCTCCCAAGCTCCCTGTGAGAAGGTTACTGCTATCTCCTTCATGGAGCTTCGCAGCAAAGGACTAATCGTTGGCTCCAGAATCTGGCTTTCCCCAGACACCCAGGCAGTGATACCTGTCAGGCTTCTGCCAGCGAAGCAGAACCATCGGACAGGGATCCCCAACCTCCAGGATCTGATGCCTAATGATCTGAGGTGGAGCCGATGGAATAATAATAGAGATAAAGTGCACAAAAAATGTGATGTGCTTAAAGCTATGCCCCCTACCCTGGTCCCTGGAGAAACTGTCTTCTACAAAACTGGCCCCTGGAGCCAAAGATGCTGGGGCCGGCTGCTATCGGACATACACAGGGAGGCGGCTAATGCCGGGACTGGCTTACGTGAGCTCCTGCGGGGCAGGTGGTGGGGAAGGGCAGGCTGGGGCCCCGTGGGCAGAGGGGCCCACCCTGCTGTCCACAGGTGGAATTTTAATCTGCCTCCAGGAAACCTCAGGTCCACTCTTAAGGCCTTTCAACTGACAGGATCAGACCCACCCAGGTTATCCTGGGTCGTCTCTATTTCAAGTGAGCTGGGTGTAGATAACAAGGCAACACGCATCTCCCCAGCAGCACCCAGATTAGTGCCGGATTGAATCACTGGATACTCATGATAGCCTGGCCAAGTAGACACGTGAAAGGGGTCATGCATAGGTCAAAGGTTAAAAGTAGAATAAAAGAGGAATAAAACAGAGCCTCGGGGAGCCCCAGAAAGAACTGTTGACGCAGGACCAGCCCCTTCAGGTTTTACCCCCAGTTCTGGTAGGTCTGCCAGGCTGGGGTAAGCGGTGTACTCACCTAAAATAAGTGGGGTGGGGAACTATGGGGCCAGAGGGAGGGATCCTCAGGGGATTTCCCTGAGGGCAGGGCAACGAGAGGCCTGCAGAGAAAGACTCTTTTGGCTGCAAATCTCCTTGTGGGTCTTTTCTTGCTAGAATGCATCCCCTATTACCTGAGAGTGTTTAAAGGTATTTGCCATCAATGATGCATCATCACTCTTTGAAAGAAAAAAGGGCTAAATTACCTGTGGTTTAGAAAGTTTAACGATATGAAATGTTGCTGCTATTTCACTTGCAAAATCAAAAAAATTTTTTTTTTTTTAAAGAGCAAATTGTAGTTTCTGGTCTACAAAAATAGCAATTTCATCTGCTTTTAGGCTGACTTGAACGGTGAACACTTTTGCAGTCAGGATGAGTATTTAGGCCTGAGAGCTTTGCCCTGATGATTCTGGAAGACTGAGGAGAATTAGATTTGTCTTTTTGGATTTTGTTTTGCTTTGTTAGACTGCAGTTTATTTATTCAGCTGATCTTATTACAACCCCTAAAGGGCCTCACAGACAGGCTCATCTTTCCTGGCGTCTGCTGCCATCTTGTCTTTTCAGATGCCTACACGGAAGATGACCTCATGCTCTATTGGAAGAAAGGCAATGACTCCTTAAAGACAGATGAGCGGATCTCCCTCTCCCAGTTCCTCATCCAGGAATTCCACACCACCACGAAGCTGGCCTTCTATAGCAGCACAGGTGAGGCGGGGCTAAGAGAGGGGGCTGCTTGGATCTCAGGAGGCCTGTGGGTTGGCTATCAAGTGAGCAGAGCCAGTGCCTCTAGGATGTGAAACCAAAGATGGAATTTCCAGATCGGGTCTAGAGGGTGGTGAGCACGGGGTGAGGGAGGTTTTTGATACCACCAGAGCATCACAAGTGATAACCTAGAAAATCTTAATAAAAACTCCAACATAAGCCCTCTGTGTAGGTCTATTTGAGACAATTGCATTGACAGTTTAACAGCAGAAATTTCACCCTGATATGACTCCCAGAGACCCCTCTCCTATGGACAAAAGATAGGTCCATTTCAGGTTTATTATCTTCTGTTCAGTTCTCTTGACTTCAGCCCCTTTGGGAGCTTCTGTCGTAAGCAATCCCCTGCTGCGGTACTGTTTGCACAGCTCCTCCTGTGACCCTCCTGTGAGCCAGAGGGCAGGTTCCGGCTGAGTTTCACTCTCTCCAGCCCTTGCCTCTTTCTCAACTAATCGCCTTTCAAGATGACTTTGCTCTCATCTTTCTGCAATTGCCGTTGCTAACACACTGCGTGGTTGACAACACTCGTTGACCTGTAACAGAAGGCATTGCTCACTTCCAAAATCACATCTCTTATCTTTTGCACACCTCACCCACCCATCTTGGTCCTTTGGGGAACCCTCATTCCTTTGACTCTTAGCATTTTGACGTTCCCTCTTGTCTGAGTGTGCTTGGGCTGCTATAAAAAACTACCATAACTCTGTGCGTGTCTGTGTGCGCGCTCAGTTGTGTCCGAGTCTTTGCAACCCCATAGACCAGCCTACCAGGCTCCTCTGTCCACGGGATCAAGAATGCTGGCGTGGATTGCCATTTCCTTCTCCGAGGGATCTTGCCAATGCAGGGGGTGAACCAGCGTCTTCTGCATCTCCTGCACCAGCAGGCAGATTCTTTACCAACAAGCCACAGACTAGGCGGCTTCTAAACAACAGGAACTTGTTTTGCACAGTTCTGGAGGCTGGGAAGTCAGGATCAAGGAAACTCAGCCTCCTTACAACCCCCACAGAGCCTCACAGACAGGCTCATCTTCCCTGGAGTCTGAAATATTTAGTGTCTGGTGAGAGCCCACTTCCTTAGGACTCACTGTGTCCTCACATGAAAGAAGGCGCAAGGGAGCTCTCTGAGGCACCAATCCCATTCACAATGAAATCACCTTCCAAAGGCCCCACCTCCAAATACCATCACTTAGAGGATTAGGTTTCAACACATGAATTTGAGAAGGACATATTCAATCTCTAGCACCTCCACAATCACTTTCTGGAGCTGTTATAAATATAGCCGTTGCACTAAAATTGTCCTGGGATGCCAGTTTTCCAGTTAATGTTGCCAAGTCCCCATTTTATTTTCAGTTCTTGTCAAGTTTATCCTGCCTTTTCCTCTCCTTCCACCATTCTCTGTTCCCTTCAATTCCTCCACACAAGTTTTGCTTGTAGAGAACACCAGGGTGAAGATAAAGCAGAGCCTAAATGCCCTGCAGCAGTGAGCTTGGTATTTTTATTTAAACATATTTTCCCCCATAAAGAAATACAGAGGGAGTTGTTAAATACACACATCTCAAGCTCTAACATATGTAGGAATTGTGTGGAGAGGAGTGTTAAAAGAAGTTTCTTTCTTTTTTTTTTTCAACCACAGTGCAGGGCTTATGGGATCTTACTTCCCCAACCAGGGGTTGAACCTGGGCCACCACAGTGAAAGCACCAAGTTCTCATCACTGGACGATCAGGAAATTCCCGAAAGGAAGTTATGATTCAGTAGATCCAGGGCGGGGTCCAAGAGTCTGCATTTCTAACAAGCACCCAGGTGATGGTGATGCTGCTGGGCCCTGAGCCAAACTGGAGTAACGAGAGTCTTACACGGCCTTCCCGAGGGGTCCCTTTGTGTACAGGATGGGGGCCAAAGGTTCCTTGAAATGTACTAACCCTTATGACGTGGGTTATCACATAATCATTCTGTTCCGTGGTTTTTCTGTCTTCCATTTTATAAAGGTAGGGTAAGTTTCCAGGCAAGGGTCTAAGGCATTTATGGTTCTCTGAATAAAATCTGTCCTATGGGGAAGCTGAACGGCTATGGAGTGTATTCTTTCTTCTTCCTGTGTCCCGCAGGCTGGTACAACCGTCTGTACATTAACTTCACGCTGCGTCGCCACATCTTCTTCTTCTTGCTCCAGACCTACTTTCCCGCCACGCTGATGGTCATGCTGTCCTGGGTGTCCTTCTGGATCGACCGCAGAGCCGTGCCCGCCAGAGTCCCTCTGGGTAAGCAACATCTCAAGTGTATGCTCCAGACATCTGAAAATACGAGGAATTCCTTCCAGATAAAACCCTTCTTTCCAAATGGGTCCTGAATCCCTGTGGGCATTATAACTCAGAAAAACATTAAGTTATTCGTTCACAGGTGTAATGCCACTATTAAGAGTCTGTGCAGTGAAGCCGTTTCTAGGTCCCCCTGGGAGTCCACACAAATGGTTCATCTTTAATCTGATTAGAGTTGAGTTCTGGAGTGGGTTGTTCTGGACTGCAGTACTTTTCTCTGCTCATCTGGATAAGAAAAGTCACATTCTGTAACAGGGCTTTTCAAAAGGTGGCCCAAGGGAACTTTATGACAGATTCTCTGGGGGAAATTGTTTAAAATGAAAAATCCTGGGGCCTATGTACATGTATAGGATCAGAATCTCTGAGAGAGTTCCAGGAATTTGCATTTTGAACAAGCTCCCCCAGTACACCTTTTTTTTTTCCCAATGTGGATCATTTTTAAAGTCTTTATTTGATTTGCTATAACACTGCTTCTGTTTTATGTTTTGGTTTTTTGGCTGAGAGGCATGTGGGATCTTAGTTGCCTGAGCAGAACTTGAACCTGCACCCCTGCATTGGAAGGTGAAGTCTCAAGCACTGGACTTCAGAGAAGTCCCTCGCCTAGTAATTCTTATACATGCTCAAGTCTGAGAATCCCTACTATACTCTCAATAGCTGTTTGCCATCCACTCTCTTCCCTGATTTAAATATTGCACCTATTCCACACGCACCACCGTGGCTCAGAGGTCCAGGGGCTTCAAGGGAGAGGATGACTCACCAGGTTTTAGTGAAACTGGATTGGTGCTGGCCCTTAAGATGACCCCAATCCGCTGTGATTTGGCGTTTGCCAAGCAAATGTTCTGAGCTTAATTTGAAATCTCAGGGACATTGCCACTGACAGATGCCCTGGCCTTTAACGGTTGTTCTGTAGCTTGAACAGTTACTGTGCTGAATAAATAAACATTCTAGTTTCAGAAATCTGTCTCCCATCAGTGAGGTTAACATCATTCTTGGTAAAACTGATAGGGTCCTCAAGTCAGCATTGCAGAATGGGCAGCCAGGTCCAGGACCCAGACAGGTCCTGACCGCTGATAACACAGGCCGAGGACTACAGCATTCTACACCAGCAGCAAGGACACAAAGATTAAAATACAACTTGTATACTTCCCCCCTCTTTTGGAGAAACATACATACCTGCTTGTATATACAATCTTCTTGTTTTGTTTATCAGTATTTATTTTATAAAATAAAGTTAATTATTTTTTTACTATTCCGCAAGGCTTGCAAAATCTCAATTTCCTGACCAGGGATTGAATCCTAACCACCAGACCACCAGGGAACTCCCCTGCAATCTTTGTTTTAAGCAGCTGAATGGAAAGAATTGTACTGCTAAGCTGTCAGGGGCTCTCTGCAGAGAAACAGTGATAAAGGTGCCATGATGCAGACACAAGGAGGCGGAACTCCCTGGCGGTCCTGAGCTGAAGAGGCCATACTTCGGCTGCATTAAGACTCCATGCTCTCACTGCGGGGCGCACGGGTTCAATCCCTAGTCTGGGAACTAAGATATGCCACTGGGCAGGGCGAAAAAGAAAAGAGAGAGGGGAGAGGGGAGAGGGGAGACGGGAGAGGGGAGGGGAGCAGCTGGGAGAGAGGAGAGAGGAGAGAGAGGCGCGGAGCCAGCCAGTGGGTTCGGTGAGAGACCCCACCCCTGCTCCTTTCTCTCCGTCTGCAGGGATCACCACGGTGCTGACCATGTCCACCATCATCACGGGCGTGAACGCCTCCATGCCCCGCGTGTCCTACATCAAGGCCGTGGACATCTACCTCTGGGTCAGCTTCGTCTTCGTGTTTCTCTCCGTGCTGGAGTACGCGGCCGTCAACTACCTGACCACCGTGCAGGAGCGCAAGGCGCGGAAGCCGCAGGAGAAGGTGACTTTCCCGTGAGCAGGAGTGTCTGCAAGGGCAGGATCGGGTCCAGCCGTGGGCCTGGGGCAGGTCCCACCTCCTCTGAACGGGGAGGGTCATGGCCCTCCCTCCTCCACTCATTTCACCAGTTGGCTGTGAAGAGCAAACAAAAGAATAAGTGAAAACGGTGTGAAACTCACTCTGAGCGACCTCTTTCACTCATTCAAACATTTATTTAGCACCTACCATAAACTAGCTTCCTGGAAATGGCAACCCACTCTCGTATTCTTGCCTGGAAAATTCCATGGACAGAGGAGCCTGGTGGGCTGCTGTCCATGGGATCTCAGAGAGTCAGGCAGGACTGAACAACTGAGCACCCACAGGTAGATGAGAAACTGCTAAGTCAAGTTAACTAAGGTGAGGTCTTTTCAATCTTGGTGGTGTTCCTAGTTCAGTGATAAAGGTAAATGTCAATTCAACATGGCGGGACAAATGATTTATGAACATAGAGAAGTCATAAAAGAAGCTTCCAGAAATGTCTGTTTCCAAGACAATCTTTTTAATAGTTGCATAATAAAGAATGTCTTGGATGTATTATAATATGATTTATTCCTCTATTGATGGGCAGTGGGTTTTTTTCCCATTTTTGGCCACCATAATAAATGCTGCAATAAACATTATATGTATGTATTATACATAGATAGGTGGATAGATATGTCTGTCTCTTGAAAGTTTATATATGTATATATAAGATTCCAAGGAAGCACATCTTCCATTCTAGGCAAATTTCCTTCACGTGTGAGCTCACACAACTCCCATCACTTCCCAGATCACCTCCCCTCCCACCTGGTTTCCCCTTCATTCTCCCGTCTGCAGTTCAGTGATTATCTCCTCCAGAAAACTCAGCCTCTGTAGAGGAACCTATCCCCACAATGCCACACCTTTCAAGTTCCTACTCCATCTCTCTTTCTCTCTCTCCCCCCCCACCTCTCTCTCACACACACACACAATAACTGCAAACATTTCTATCAGGGGTCATACCAGAGAACATGGCGATTATCTGATCATGAACCTCCTTGTGGGGCTCCGATATGATTTGGTGTTTCCTAACAGTTGATGGGTTACCTGCTCTTTCATTGATAAAATGTATACAGTGCCACCATCATGATTTCCCCAGCCCCTTAAAAGAAAGGACTTCCCTGTAGCTCAAATGATAAAGAATCTGCCTGCAACGCAGGAGACTAGGGCTTGATCCCTGGGTCAGAAACATCCTCTGGAGAAGGGAATGGCAATCCACTCCAGTATTCTTGCCTGGAGAATCCCATGGACAGAAGGGCTTGGTGGGCTACAGTCCACGGGGTCGCAAAGAGTCGGACAGACTGAGCAACTCACACGCACCTTGAAAGAAAGCAGGAAAGGGCGATCCCCTCCTCCGTGCAGCTCTGCGGGCTGAGCTCGCATTCCAGCGTGCATTTGCTGTGTCCGCAGCTTCCCTGCGCCTGCGGGTTGCCTCAGCCACGCGCGGTCCTCCTGGACGGCAGCTACAGCGACGGGGAGGTGAACGACCTGGGCAGCTATACCCCCGAGAACGGAGACAAGCCCGACAGGATGATGGTGCAGCTGACGCTGGCCTCGGAGAGGAGCTCCCCGCGGAGGAAGAGCCAGAGGAGCAGCTACGTGAGCATGATTGACACCCACGCCATCGATAAATACTCGAGGATCATTTTCCCAGCTGCATACATCTTATTCAATTTAATATACTGGTCGATTTTCTCATAAATGCCTGTAATTCTATGCATTTCACATTCTTCTGTATGTACTACAGAAATAATTGAATGATGAGACATAATTTAAGGTTATGATGAAAAGAAAGTTCCCAGTACCCACCCTTCTCCAGCTTTCCAAAACTACACTGACAAGGCACTTACTGGTTTAATGTACACTTATTAACCGCTTATTGTATACACAGCATTATACTCGGTACTGCAGGTATAGAGACACCCGTAGCAACTGATGACAGTTGTTACTGGGATCTCTTAGAAAAGCGCACTGCTTTGCTAAGAGAAAAGGCACACTGGGGTGGGGTAGGCACTCTTTAGTTCAGCCTCTTTTAGACTCTAGACATTTATTCATATGAACCATATCCTTTATGTGAGCGTGACTCTATCTCTGGACCAGGTGCATCTGGGAAGCACCTGAAGTTCTTTTGTTGTTGTTGGTTAACCGGTAAGTGGTGTCCGACTCTTTGCGACCCCGTGGACTGTGTAGCCCAGCAGGCTCCTCTGTCCGTGGCATTTCACAGGCAAGAATACTGGCGAGAGTTGCTGTTTTCGCCAGGGGATCTTCCTGACCCAGGGATCAAACCCACATCTCCTGTATTGGCAGGCGGATTCTTTACCGCTGAGCCACTCATTTACATGCACCTAAATCCCCACTTTGACCAAAACTTATGCTTCAGTCTGTAGCCTCCTACCTATTTTATATGCATCTCTTCATGTTGATTTCATTACAAGGCAATAACAATATTCCTACTTTATTTACATCTTGTGGTCCCTAAGGTTTCACCTCTTCACAAGAAAAGCTTTTTAGACTGGTACAATGGTTTCTGGTTTTGGTAGGTATTTCCCTGGTAGGGAAACTTTGAAGAAGACAGTATTTGCAGGCATTTTGTCAGTTTTGTCATAGGGGTAACTAGCCTAGAAAATTTGTGTGTGAGTGTTCCCTGTTTAATAATCACTGCTTCATGAATCTCCACCTTGCAGCATGTCCAAGTTCAAAGTGAAGTTAGTAATGTGATATCTTCACTGATGAACCTGGGATTAGGCTGACTTTTTTCTGCATAACCATGGCAAGGAAATGCATAATTTGGGACTACCAATAACTTGTTAGGATGAGAAATACATGGTTACTGAATGTAAAAGAGAATGCCAAAATGAAAAAGAAATGGTTACACATCACTGGACAATTCCATTTATACTCAGTGAATACCAGCATTTTCTGTGACCCAGAAAACAATGGCCACTGGTGTCAGGGCAGGGGATAAAGGAGAGGGTTCTAATTTGGTGTATTATTTAAACAACATATAGCTATTCATACTATATATCCACAGGATCAACTCCCATCAAATTTATGCATAAAGCATTTGTTTGAAATTCAAATAAACTCTATTATGTCATTTTTATTCCAAAGCTAATTTGACTGATCCCTATACTAAATAATATCATGTTATTTCTTCATGAGGGCTATACTTTGGTCTTTAAAAAAGAACAACAACAAAGTTTCAGAAAGTCTAATTACAGGGCAATCTCCCATTTTCTTGAAATAAAAAAAAGTTTTTTTTTCTTTAATAGCAAACTCTACTAGAAAAATGTAAAGGAATACAGATGAAATAGTTAAATGTCAACTTTTAATACTAATAATATTTTTAGAACATTACCTTTTTCATGCTTATTTTATGAAACAATTCTAATCAAATTTCACACACATCCTTGCCACTTGCTTCTTCCTCAGAGCAGGACCACTTTGAACTGTCTAGGCGGGTTTCCAGGACACATAATCTGAACTTCCATCCACAGTGTTTGGGGAGCTCTGCCATATAGAACCAGCATATAGGATGCTGTATTGTATTAGTCTGTTCAGGCTGCCAGAGCGGAGTCCCATAAGCTGGGCAGCTTAAACAATAGATATTTATTTTCTTTCAGTTCTGGAGGCTGGAAGTCCCAGGTCAAGGGGTTGGCTGGTTTATTTTCTCCTGAGGTCTGTCTCCTCGGCTGACAGATGGCCGCCTACTTGCTGTCTTCACCTGGCCTCTTTCTCTGAGTACATGCATTCTTGGTGTCTCTTCATTTAGGTGACACAAGTCATATTGGATTACAGCCCTGCCCTTGTGATCTCATTTAACCGTAATTACCTCTTTCAAGGCCCTATCTTCAAAGAAGTCACATTATGGGGTGAGAATTTCAAAATACAAATTCTGGGAAGACACGACTTAGCCCATATGCCTATGGGAATTATTCAGCTTCATAACAGTGTATCTAGTGCATCTGAGGGCAGGAGGAGATGGGGGTGACAGGATGAGATGGTTGGATGGCATCACTGACTCAATGTGGACGAGTCTGAGCAAACTCCAGGAGACAGTGAAGGACAGGGAAGCCTGGCGTGCTGCGGTCCATGGGGTCACAGAGCGGACACAATGAGCAGCTGACCGACAACAGTGCACGTTATAGGTGTTTACTCTTGATCTTTACAACATAACCACATGCAGTGCTGTTTCTCAGAGTGATCTTTAAAAGGCTTGTTCACGTTGATATCTATGCTAGTGGTATGAAGACTAAGTTATTGAATTCATGTTCAATGTCTTTGCTACCTTTTCTAGCAATTCTCAGGTGACCTCCACAAGCACGTAACAGCATTGATTGAGGTGACAGTACTTTGCTCTCAAAGCTATGTCACTGAGACAGAACTCTGTAATTTGACTTCATAAAAACCCAAATACAAAGCAACTCTCTTTTCTGATAATTTTGGAGAAAACCACCCTTTATCTGTGGACATCTATAGTACTTAATAAACTTGCTGGCTTGACTAGAAAGTAGAGAGATTTGGTTAATAATGTCTAGTTAACAAACAGGTATGAGGACTTCCCCGCCGGTCCAGTGGTTAAGACTGCGTTTCTCTGCAGGGGCGTGGGTTCAGTCCCCAGTGGGAGACCAAGATCCTGCACGCCATTCAGTATAGCTTAAAAAAAAAAAAGGCAGATATCACATAAATACTGAACAAATAAACAAACTGTCACTCACAACACATAAGCATTAATATGAGGAAAAAAATTTTAATAGTTGCACTTTTCTATTTATTCATTTATAATAGTGGCACTTTTTGTATTTATTCATTCATTCAGCAAGTAATTCTAAGCACCTAGTATGTAGCACGCAATGTTCAAGAGCAGTGCTTCTCAAACCATCTGTGGTGAAGGACCAGTTTGTTTAATTATTTTATATTTCCAATTCACTGGAGAACTTCACAAATCTAGGTCTGAGCCTGCATTCCACCCTGTAGGAATGTGGACTTGTGGGTTTGACCATGGAGCCCAAAACTGTTTGTGAATGTGAGTCATAATTATCACAATAAAGCATGCAGAGGAAGAACATTTCATTCTGTTATTAAAAAAATTGTGCTACAACTGAGTGTCTTTGTATGGGAAATCCCAGTGTCTGCAGTGATAAGAAAGCACATTATCCAACAAACACAGTAATAATGTGAGAGTAAAACCATTTAGTTCACTTAAGTATTATCACCACTCTGAAGATAATTGGATGCCTTTTCAATTTCATATTGTTTAATTTTTATCTATATAAAAATAATTTTTATCTATATATAATTAGGAAAATACTTGTAATTCCCAGAACAGCACTGACATTACCTAGGAACATGTTAGGAAAGCAGAACATCAAGCCTCACCCCACACCCAACTAGAATCTGTATGTTAACAAGTTCCCCAGGTGAATCTTACATGCATTCAAGTGAGCAAAGCACTGAACTAGGTTTGTGTAACCATATACCTTTAGTATCATTCACAAAAAGTTATGTAAGAGCTGCATTTATACATGAGACAACTCAGTATTGCATGCTTACTCTACGAGGAAGGAATATTTCCTTTCTTTCTACCTTTTTTGTTTTGGAGGGGATGGTAATTTTTAAAGTTATAAAAAGCAGAAAAAAATCCATTCATAATCCTATTAGCCATGGGCAACTAGTATTACTTCTCATCCTTTTTTCTACGTAGTTTTGTATAGCTGCCACCATATTTTATATACAAATTGATACAGGTTGTTTCCCATGACATATTATGACATTTTCCTACTAAAAACTCCATTTTGCAGCCATTAAAATCATTCCATACTATGACTGTACATGGCAATCTTTTCCTTAACACTGGATAAAAAAATAATACTGTGATGAATACTCTTAGGGGAATATTCTTGTCACACTCTAGACTTAATTTCCTCATATTAACAGTGAATGTGTAGAATGGATGCTGATTTGAGATCACTATTCTTATTATATTGAGTAAATAGTGTGCAGTGTAATTCCAAGTTCTCAGCTTTTTAAAACTTAAAAAGTCACAAATGGAATTAAACTGTGCCTTGTTAATGTTAGTGACTCAAGTTATGTCCAACTCTTTGTGACTCTCCGTGACACCGCAGCCCGCCAGGGCCCTCTGTCCATGAAATTCTCCAGGCAGGAATACTGGAGCGGGGGTAGCCATTCCCTTCTCCTGGGCATCTTCCCTATTCGGGGATCAAACGCAGGCCTCTTGTATTGCAGGCAGATTCTTCACCATCTGAGCCAACCGGGGAAGCTCAGAACTATACCTTAGTGATTCAGGGAACAGTAACCCACTCAAACTAGCTTAAGAACACAGGAATCACAGACATGAAGTAAATAAATGGCTGTGCCTGATGAGTACTGTAACGATTTCAGACAGCTTCTCTTTCTAGGCAGTTACCTTTCCTTTTCTTCAGTGTGATTTGCTTTATTCACTATAAAGACTGTCCTCTGCTCACACATGACATTCACCTCCAGATTCATTGACCTTAAAATCCCAGAGGTAATCATCCTCTAAATGACCTCACCGCAACTCTTAATTCCCGGGAGAGCTATTTCAAGTGTCTCTCCACCCTTATCAAAAGTCCATCTCAGTTTGTATAGGCCTTCTTTTGAGCTAAAAGAGGGTGAGCTAGCCCTTCAGGAGATGTGAAAGGAATTAGAAACAAGAGCCAGAATAAGCTTTTTCCTACTCAGCCTACCCTGCACTCAATAACAGCTGTCTGCAAATGAGGTCAGAACAAGGAGACTTCACAGTGTTAAAAACAAACAACCCACCCCTGCAAATAACCAAAACATCAGAAACTGGTTCAACATGAAGAACATGTTTCTGTACAGGCAGAAAAACGTATTTCTCTGGCAGTGGGAATGGATAAATCAAAACCATATATTCAGTTCAGTTCAGTTCAGTCGCTCATTCGTGTCCGACTCTTTGCAACCCAATATATTAATAGGTAACAAATACAGTTATGACATATTGGGCTGAGGACAGAAAACAAGTTTTATTAGTCAAATTGTTCTTATCATCTTAGAATAAGAAATCTATGCTTTGTGAGTTAATTTCTAAAGTTTTGTAATTATTTTCCTTGATTTTCTAAATTCTTTTGTTCCAAACTTAGATCAATGAAACAAGTGATATTTAGGCCAGAACTTAAAAAGTGGCAGAGGGTAGGTGGGGTAATAGCAACATCAGAAGCTGGGAAACATGGGCTAAGATCTGATTGGAGAGACTCCTAGAGATAAGGGGCTTCCCAGGTTGACCCAGTGGTAGAGAACCTGCCTGCCACTTGCAGGAAACACGAGAGATGTGGGTTCAATCTTGAGGTCGGAAGGATCCCCTGGAGGAGGGCACGGGAACCCAGTCCAGTATTCTTGCCTGGGAAATCCCATGGACAGAGGATCCTGGTGGGCTACAGTCCATAGGGTCACAAAGAGTTGGACATGACTGAGCACCATCATAAACATCTCAAACAGCTGAGGCTGCGATCTCTTTCTGGCTGGGATTTTCTATTACAAGCTCTTCTTATATACATATTTTTTACAAAAGAGCCTGTCTTAAAAACACACAACCCACCTGAGTGGGTTTGTGACTCTGGATGGATGGGCGGAAGCTGAAAGCTTTCTAGGACAATGGCAGGTATACCAAACAGTTGCTGTGGGTAACCGCTCCATCTTTGGGAAACATTAGGCTGAAACAATAACTGACTAGCCCCTCACCACTTTCAGAGATTAACAGACAACAGCTTAAAGTTTTGCTAAGATTTCAACTGCACCTAAGTCTACTTCTTCACACGTGACATCTTACTCCTTTATCAAGCTAAAAGCAAACGAGAATTTTTAGAGTCCAGGGGTACTTAGATTCGCATCAAACTCTTTGAAGCTTCTCATATACAACACATGATCCTCCTACAAGGCTTGAAGTGATAGTTAATCCTGAATTAGTATCATTCAAATCAGGCAGTAACAACGCTTGGATCTAGGTTTGGTTATTCCTTAAATAAATTAAGCTCAAGTGGGAAAACATGAAGTTTTTGAACTGCTTTCTATTCTCTAGGGTCAAACAAAAAGGCGTCAGGCATTTAGCAACACAACTAATAGATAAAAGTTCAAACTCTCTCAAAAGCAATTCATTGTTTACTCAATGGGACAATGTCTACTTAGTTTTTTGAGCTAAACAAGAATTTTGTCTACTGAAGACCTTGATTTGATATTTTTTTCTGTTTTGTATTTCTGAGGTTTATTTTTTAAAGCGACTGGATGCTGTGATCCACTATACTAATCAAAGCTCATTTTACATTTTAATCATTGGGAAAAAAAGAACAGATTTGGACTCTATTTTGAAAGCCAGTTCAAACCAAAAAAAACACGGACACTTGTAATTTTTTTCACACGAGGCACTTATTCTTTAGACATTGATAAGAATCTAAAAATCTGCTCTGTTGCATTTAAGTATTACATGGTGTGACTTTGTGCTGAAGTTGAAAAAATTTTTTTAAGAAAATTCAATACTGTAATTATGTACCTACATCTCATCATGTAAAACTTGTCCTGGCATTTCTCAGTATCTGAGACTAGTAAAACACTCATTTTTAAACAAAAATAATTGTTCTTTTTAAAATCTCATATAAACAACATGACATTATAGTATAAAAGCAAAGCAAATCAACATCTGTAACACTGAATAAGAGACTAATATATACAGCAGAAACCAACACAACATTGTAAAGAAATTATCCTCTCCAAAAAATAAATTTTTAAAAAAGATTATGTCACAGTGTATTTGGGTAATTGTGCTTTATGTTCATATATTTTCAAAACTCCCTATATAGGTTGGAAAAAACCACAACTGCTATTTGATAAATACATTTATTAACATTATAGATTTTTTCATACATACTTTAATATATGTATGCATTAAAATATTTTTAAAATGACTATGATCTGATGGTAGTAGAGACTGATTTTACTTGAAAATATTAACTTCATACATATCAAATGCACCATCCTTAACTATATGATTTGTTTGCAAAAGGCTTGCTGAAGTATAAACAAAAATAAAGAAGCAGTTTTTCATACCTTACACACTTATAAAGAGTTGCTAGCTAGCAGCAAGACAAATTGACTTATTTTACAATGAAAATTTACTTTGATCTTTTGAAGGCTAGTACTACGTAGAACATTTTCCAGAAGACCAGAGATGCTTCAGATGAAAAGTAAGAAATATATAAAATACAACTATCTGAAAGGTTTTCTAAAAAGAACATATTATAAAATTAGACAATCATTCTTTAAGAAGACTTTTCATATCAATTTCTTCTATTCAAACAGACTGACATGACTCAGGTATTTTTAAATATTTCAGAAACACTTCCTCAAAAATTTCCAAGACAGCAGCCTTCAGGTGTTCCCTCAAACCCAGTGTTGCTTAAATGAAACAAATCTTATGAGAAGTTACCACCAACCACAAGTTTTTGGGAGCATGAACTATATCTTCCTCTTTACGTTACCCCCAGTGCTTAGAAGTAGGCTCTCCTTGACAAATGTTCACCGAACTCAACTGTTGAAAAGATCACTACAACTTACTAATAAATAAACAGTCCTCTGGAGGATTGTGGGAAACCAAAACACTTCCAGTTTATACAAGTATTCATGAACACATGAAAATGTTCTAATTTAACCTAAATGTCCCAGCCCTTATGAGTGTTATAGGAAGAAGCAATTAAAAGGGAAAAATTCCTGAATAATTCATAAAATATGAGTAGTTTTTAAAACTAATAGAACCTGAGAATTTTAAGAGGCTAGCTAAATATTAGCGACACTTAATCATTACATAGTATATAGCAACTTAGTAGTGAGTAGTACCACATAATCATTTTATACAGGTCCCATATTCAGTCAGGCCTGCTTTTAAAATTAAGCCACAAAAGAAAAAACATGTTCAATCTGTTTTTAAATTTAACCCACTAATCTGGATTATACAATTTGGGTCTATTAATTTAACAAAAATAGCCAAAAGTTGGTATTTGAGGAAAAGGCTTTCCGTTCAGCCTGTGAACAGTGAAAGTTTAAAAAGAAACAAAAAACCATGTAATAAAACCTTTTTCCATAAGAACCAAGATACTCAAGCAGGTCCACCTATGTCTCTAGTTTAGGTTAGAAGTTAATTCACTATTTTAAAAGTCAAATTATTTTAAAATTTATACTAACTTAGCTTGGGCTGTTTTTTCTTTCAAATGAGTCAGGTTTTAATGCACTTAAAGGAAATTAAGCATACAGAAAAGACAGCGGCTTCAAAGAACACAGAATCAGGTACAGGAGCAACATGCAATCACCGAATCTAAGAGACAGTCAAGTGTCCTTATTCAAACTGATTCTGGGGGAAAAAGCCAGTCGCCCCTTTTCTCAAAATCAAGGCACAAAATTCCATTTTGAAAGTCTTATTCATGTGTCAACCTCCTAAAAATACTCATCATTTACATGTATAGAGTATATGTATATACATATATATATAACCCTTTTAATCTAGAAGTGACACTGTTCTCCTGTAATTGAGTGCTTCTCCATTTATCCTCCAAATAATCTTTGGAGATTTAATCTAAAATGTGAGGCCCAATCAACACAATGATAATTTAAGCTAAGTATAAACATTTACGAAAATTTAGCACATTACAACATACCACTGAAATATGAGGATAAAGAAAGACCTTAGTTCCAAAAGGAAAAACTACCATTACAAAGAAGTGGGTTTCCCCGCTGAAACGGTAAAGAATCTGCCTGCAATGCAGGAGACCTGGGTTTGATCCCTGGATTGGGAAGATCCTCTGGAGAAGGGAATGCAACCCACTCCAGTCTTCTTGCCTGGGAAATCCCATGGACAGAGGAGCCTGGTGGGCTATAGTCCATGTGCCGCAAACAGTCTGTCACAACTGAGCAACTACTTTCACAAAGGAAGTAGTCTCCCCAATTCTAATTGCATAGTGAAGATTAGCTACAGTTGTTCCTCTGGACAGGAGATTTTGACTCAGCATTTATTTACTTATTTATTTACACGCTTTAATGTAATATGGCTCAGTTAGCTCACTAGTAAATAAAAATGAAGAGGGGATTTTAAAAGTCTGAATTAGAAAGAATAAAGTCTGAATTATATTAAATAACTTAACATAAAATGTCAGGGTGAGATCTAGGGGGAAATGGAATTCTCCAGGCAAGAATACTGGAGTGGGTAGCCATTCCCTTCTCCAGGGGGTCTTCTGGACCCAGAGATCTACTCTAATTTTTAAAAATGAGACAAAGAATGTCATGGAGGACCAAGTTCTCAAAGCTGATACAGAGTAAGAAGAGTGGCCAGCACAGGGGACAGCCTTAAGGCTGGATACTAAAGAAAGCAAACAGCCTCCAACTAATAAAAATAAATGAAAAAAAAAAAGAAAGCAAACTTCAAAAGAGCCAGAACCCCCAGTGAGGACAGACCACTGATGTGTTATGGGCACTGCTAAGTCCCTTTCTCAGTGTTTTCAATTCAGAGGCTTGAAGTTTTCTTCCAGGATAAGATCTGATTATACGATGTAAGTCAAAGAGAGCCAGTTTTTATGTTATACAGGATGGACAGGCAAACTTTTATCTTACAAAGGGGCGGACAGTAAATATTTTAGGTGTTGCAGGTCACACAATTTGCTCTCTGATGCTCTTTCTTCCTGAGCCCTTTAAAAAAGAACAGCTCATTTTCAGCATGCTAGCCATAAACAATCAGGCTGCTTGCCAAATCAGGCCAGTCTGCAGACGGCAGATACAGAAGGAAAGCAATTCTTAAATACTAACTCTCCTCTCAAATTCCCCTCTCTTTTAACTTTAAATAACTTCAGATAAAAGAGGAAATAGAGGTTTAAAAGACTATAAGGATAAGGGATCAAATCTAACTTTCCGAAAGAGAAGCGGAAGTCTCAGAGCATACAAGTTGACTTGCTTACAGCTGAGACCAAATGCTCACTTTGCTCTCCTTCCCCCTTCCATTTTTGGAATGCTTATGGCTCAAATTTGAGGACTCCCTGACCTTTACTATATTCACAGCTTAATGTATTTGTTTTACTGGATACTTTTCACATTCTTTTATCATGATAAAGAAAGTCACACCAGGAAAAACTAATATAATACTTCTTAGTTTATACTAGCATGGGGCTTAAGGAGGCTTAGAATTCTGTCGCCTAAATTTAATAAACTACTGAGTTTACTCAGGCTGGACAGGCTAGCTTCTGAGGAGAAGCCTGAACAGGGCTGCGAGGTAGAGGGGACCAGTTCCATGACATTAACATTCAAGGTAAGCAGACATGACTCCTCTCACCATATTCCCCTAGGGCACATGGGGCCACCAAGCCAAAACCTTACAGGAAGAGTCTAATCCTATCCAGCTACCATTTTCCCTATTACAATAATATGGAATGAGAAATAGCACTTCAATGCCACTTCTCAGAGTAAGTTATATACAAAAAAGAACATTTTCATTTTCTTTCAAACGGTAACTTAAGCTCATTCTTTGCACCTGAGTTTCTAGTTATTTCCCACAGCATTTCTGATTAAAAGCCTACTTTTATTATCAATGAAGAGAGTCTCTAGACCAAAACAGATACAGATATTCCAAATGAATCTTCCCTAAATTTAGAATGGGAATTTTTAAACAACTTTATAGAACAGTGTTACCAACACCAAAAACATCTTTCATGTGCCCATTATGAATATAAGGCCTGAAATCTCTTGGATCTTTTAAAATACACTCACACAACATATGGCTTTATAAAATATTATCACCGATAAACCATGTGTCATCCAGGTTGTTTATGAAATGCCAGCTCTGAAAGGTCACAATTTCATCAGCCACAGATTTGCGAAACTTTCACTCTAGATATGAGGTGAGGTAATATGTTTTTTCCACATTGTGTCCTCACTTTTCAGGTAAGAGGAATTTGACTCAAACTTTAAGACTGAAAAACAAGCCATGCCCTCCTCGCTCATTAAAAAAGATTACAGGAAAAAAATCATCACTTCTTCTGAATGATCTGTAAGTAGCTCCTAAACCCTCCTTTTATCCTACTGCATTTAAAACTCTTCCTCTTGAAGTTTCAGTCTGAAGTCCTCTCTGATTCTTTCCAGCAACTCTGGTTTAAAGATAACATCCAGTGCAGTCATTGCCAGAGCTTTGGCTGTTCTCAAAGTGTAGAACTGAGCCTCCTGTGATCCTAGGCAGGAGAGAAGTTAAAGAAAGGTAACTTCATACGTATTACAGCTAACTTATTCGTTTTCAGGTTAGCTCTCAATATCTAAATTGCCTGTCCAACTGACCACCACAATATAGTATTTCCTGGGGTGTTCGGTAAAGAAGTGATAATGGGCTAAACCAAGCATGTAGAAAGGCAGCTACTACTACAAAAAGAAGGCACGTCAGAACATCAGCTCTCACCTGCAGCTTCAGTGTACTGTTCTGTATGATTCAAGGCATTAGATCCAATGTAAAAATACGGATGAATCCCGGGAACCACAAAAGAAACATTCCCAAAATCGGTAGATCCTTGGAAAGGTAAGACAAATCATGAATTTTTAATTGCTAGTCCAACGGAGCATGTGTATCTTAACACACCTTATATACACCTGACCTGATTTACAACTCCTTCCCTTCCAGAAATTCTCTACCCTCTGGGCCCACTCTCCCGACTGCCTGGCTTTCTCTACGCCTCCCTCGCCCATCACTTCTGCCGCCCGTCTCCTGAGCACGGGCGACCCCGAGCGCGTCATCTCTGGGTCCTCAGGCAGCCTCCTCAACACTGAAACCTGTGTCTTCAATCACCTCTCATGTGTTGACAGCCCCTAACTCTCGACCTGGACAACTTTCGGAATCGGTTACTGGGCAGCTTTCCTTAGAGGTCCTGTGAACACCTCAGACTTAATGAATGAATAATTTGTGCCAGCCCCTATTTCAGCCCGCGCTCTCCCGTGAACTCTCATCTCTGAGTGACACCGCACCTGTTTTCACCTCCAAGTCTCCGAGTCCACTCATCGACACCTACTGCATTTTAGGAGATACATTTCTAACATGGAAACTTATTAGCGATAATCCTCTAAAAGGAGAAAAAATCTAAAATTACCTGATATACTTATGAGTGTTTCATAGTTGTTTGTTATTTCTCAGAAACTGAAAATGTCCCCATGTAACCAAGTCCTTAGTAACTGGCTTACTGATAACTGAGAATGAATTAAAATTCTCTTTCCCCTTTAAGTAGCTTACTTAAAAATTAGAACGAAGCAAATTTAAACACTAGAAAGACTTAGAATATAAAGCCAAGAGTAGGTTGGCTGTTTCTAAAAGCAAATCTGTTCCCATGACATTCCACATTCACTGAAGAGTTCTTTAATGTCTTTCTCCTAACCATTAAGTTTGTAAAAAAGTGTCATTAAAAAGCGTAAGCAACACTTCCCCCAACCTCCAAAGCTGTTAAGCAAAACCATTTAACCTTGGATAGTACTTCCCTGCCTCAAACAGCATGGTGTGTTTGAAAGAGCTTAATTACCTGAAGGGCCACTGAACATAGCATCTTCTGAAATGAAGTCTATTCCTAGCTGTTTTCCGTTTTCAACATAAGCTTTCCACAGACTCTTATTGGGAAGAACATTGTAATAATCATGTGCTCCACCGTCAATTTCCACCTAATAAAAATTACAACACAAGTTTAAAATTAAGAAGCTTGAACTTCAAACCAGCACTGGTTCACTAACAGAAATTAGTTTGAAAAGGCGGCACCTACCCTTCAGGATACAAACCCGCAAACCTTTACTTTAAAACCCACATTTTTCTCTAAGGAGAGCTCCCAGGACCCTGTCCCCTTTACGCGATCCATGCGCCAAAGCGCACAAGGTCACCGAGCTCTACCAGCCAGCGGGTCTCAGGGTCAGCCCCTGAACCAGGAGTGGGCGGCCAGCAATCCCCACTTCAGCCAGCACCCCAAGTACTGCTGATGCAGGTGGTCCCCACGCCACGTAGGAAACACTGCTCTAGGCTAGGGCCCCTAAAAGACAAATCAAGATTCCCGAATTTTCCGTATACAGACTGACCCTGACACCACTACCTCGTCTGAAAGGTATAACGCACTTTAAGAGGAAGACAGAAGATCCACAGTGTGGCGGCGCTGACTATGGTCCTCATTTATTAATTTCAGTGCTTTAAGATGCAGAAGCAGTTTACATGTGCCCAGCTAAGAGGATTTACAGATTTAGATTTGATTAAATAAAAAACGGGCAATATTCCCACAAACTAAAGATAATTCCAATAACATTAGCAAAAACCAATTATAAAATGGCAGAGATATTATTCTACTCTTAGCAACATCTAAGTTAGACACAATGAAAATCTAAACATACTAAGTCACACAGCTGTGTCTGACTCTCTGCGACTCCAAGGAATTCTCCAGGCCAGAATACTAGAGTGGGTAGCTGTTCCCTTCTTCAGGGGATCTTCCCAACCCAGGGACTGAACCCAGGTCTCCCGCACTGTAGGTGGATTCTTTATGAGCTGAGCTACCAGGGAAGCCCAACAGATACTATAAGTCAGCCAAAACATAAAAATTATTAAAAGACTATTTAAATATAACAGGAGATAAGCAATCTAGCTGACAAGATATTTAAAGTAATAATCATAAAGATGTTCAAAGAACTCATGAGAAGAATGGATGAATAGAATGAGAAGTTTTAAACGAAGAGTTGGAAAATATAAAAAAGAACTATACAGAGCTAAAGAATACAGTAACTGAAATAAGAAATACATGAGAAGAAATCAACAGTAGGTTAAATGATACAGAGTAACAGATGAGCAAAGCAGTGATAATCACTCAAGCCGAGAAGAAAAAAGAAAAACGAATTTTAAAAAATGAAGACAGTTTAAAGAGCCCTCTGGGACAACATCAAGTGTTAACATTTGTATTGCAGGGACCCCAAAACGAGAAGAGACAGGGAAAGCAGCAGAGATCACACTTGAAGACATGCCAGCTAAAAACTTCCCTAATCTGGGACAGTAAACAGACGTCTAGCCCAGGAGACACAGAGAGAGAATACCAAACAGATTCAACCCGAAAAGGACCATGCTGTCATTAAACAGCAAAAATGAACGAGGAAGACAGAATATAAAAAGCAAAAGAGAAACGCAACACGCCACCTACAAGGAGATTCCCACAAGGCCATCAGCTGACTTCTCAGCAGAAACTCTGCAGGCCAGAGGGAGTAACACAGTATACTTAAAGTGATGGAAGGGAAAACCTACAACCAAGAATACACTACCTCACAAAGCTTTCATTCAGATTTGAAGCAGAGATCACAAGTTTTACAGACAAGCAAAAGCTAAGAGTTCAGTATCACAAAGCCCCAACTTTCTAAGAAATGTCTAAAGGACTGTTTAAGCAAAAAAAAAAAAAAAAAAAGGCCATGACTAAAAATATGAAAATTACAAAAGGAAAAATCTCTTTGCCAAAGGTAAATACATGGTAAAAGTAGAAGATCAACCACTTTAAAGCTAGTAGGAAGGTTAAAACACAAAAGTAGCAGAATCATCTGTAACTATAATAAGGAATTAAGGGGCACACAAAAAAAAAGGGTATAAAATATGATATCAAAAGCAGTAACCGTGACGGGAGGAATACAAACAAAAGATAGGTGTGGCTGATCTTGCCGTAAAGTTGCCTTCACAGCGGCTACATAGAGCAATTCTAAAAGCATAACTGCCAATAAGGGAAAAGATAGCTTGCAGAAAGGCAGGGATTCTAGCTTAGCAATACCAGTTCTTCTAAGTCCTGTGTGATAAGACCACTGTGGTCTTCCCTATGTGAACACAGAGTAAAATAAGTAAGAATGAAAGACTTTCAAATCAACTGATTTTTGCATACTCAAGACACTGCCAAATGAAAGAAAGGCAAAATTAGGTTCTAATGTAACTTAATATAAACAGTCCCAGCCCACACATGTGCTTCTGATTCTAACTTAGATTAACTCTTAAAGTCCTTACTGTGCAGCCAGTGGCCAAAGCTGCAGCTCTGAAGCAGTCTTCTGCCTTTTTGGTCAAAACTGGAAGCTCTTTCATTGAGGGTGCACGGAAGTAATAGATTAACTCAGAGTAAGAGGGAATGATATTGGGTTTTACACCACCATTTTTTATTATACCTATAAAAAGAACCAAATTACTGGAATTGAACTTGGAGCTTGGAGACCATTCCTTTAGTTTAAATACAGCCATAAAGTTTTTCAGCCAAAACATATATACAGAAAAATAGTTTAAACTTATTACCTTCACATATATACCAATCAAAGATTTTGATGTTATACAACAAGTTTCTATGCATAGTGTGACATTTTCTGGCTAACAGGAAAAATAAAATAACTGTCTGTATGTACTTTAGCCTGAGGAATTTACATAATGTTAATAAATTATGATTCTTGACTAAAAAGAAACTGTCAGAAATTTTTATAAGTATTGTTAGCCTTCTGGAAGAGACTTTTATTTCAGGGGCTTTCTTATAGTTGTATATTTTGTTAAACTTTTGACATAAGGAAAAACCCCAATGGTAGGAGGTTCTATAATTACCCTCATATCTTAGGAATCCCATTTTAAATGGCATTTGGCTCTGGGAAAATATTTGAAGCTATTTTTATGTCAATAAGAAACTAATACAAACGAAAGACTGACAAAGTATACTCTCAACCATCAAAACAAATGCATTTATTTGGAACTATACTAGGAAAGAAGATGTATCCATTCAAAATAATAACTAAAACAAATAATTAAAGCCTAATATTTTATGAGCTGATTTTTTTAAAAAGTATTTTTACATATTCATGTTTGGTCCTTTTAAAGAAACTAAAGCAGAAAATCAGTAAAAGTGCAGTTACTAATTTCAGAGTACAGCAAAATCGGGTAAAGAACAGATGTGAAGTATAATAATTTCCCAAAGCATAAGGAAATAAAACTAAAAAATAAACCTGCAACTTCAAGGCAGTACTTTATTACTGTACTTACATTAAGGTGCTACACATAATTTTTAATTTTGCATAATACTTTTACTTAGGGTTAACAGCACTTGAGTATATAAAACCAGTAACCATCACTTTTTTTAAAATGAGAAAACAATGAAATTTTGTTATCAAGAAACAGGATAACTGGGAAATCAAGTTCTAACTTTCAAATACCAACAGAAAGAACAGAGATCCTTACATAAAAACATCAGTTTTAATACTCAAAATGACCATTCTATTTATGTACAAATAATCTTAGCCACACGTAAACAAACATCTACTATCCTGTGCCAGGAATTTCTGAAAATGTTAAAATTTTTTTTGAATATTCATAGAGTACATAAAATGTTCCCAATTTTTTTTTTACATTTTTAAAAAATTTATGTATTTATTTTAACCCCAATTTTTTTTCATCAAAGAGTCTATTAAAGAATTGTATTGCACTCAACTATATTAAGCACCATCTATTACCCAAAGTATTTGACATTTGTACCATGAACTCTCCAGGCGGGCTTCAGTTGCTGTCTTAACACAGACAGATTGTTGTAAGCGAGGACGGCAGCATCTAATGCATTCAGCCCTTCCCAGGGATAAGCAGCAGCGTGAGACGCCTTACCGTAGTACTTCACAGTCACACTAGGAAACAGAACATCATTAGGAATGGCTTTTTTCAGTATCACTAAACAGAGAAATTCCAATTATTATTCAAAATTAATTCACACGGCCGGAATTTTTATTTGCGAATTATTTGTAGCAATAATGTAACAATTTACATATCCTAGTTCTAGTTTATATGTAATCCAGGAACTAACAAAAAGAAGGCAGTCCAAAAAAGAATTTTGCTCAACCTCCTTTTCAAATTAAATCTGTACACCATTAAATTCAAATAAACAATCCATTTTAAGTGCTGGTATTACAAAAAAGATGGCTCCTGTCTTCTACGCTGTATTGTGACAGTTCTGTATCAAAGGTCTGCAGAAACTCAGATAATTCTGTTTCATGGTCAAGGAAAGACACAAAGGAGGTCACATTTGTTTGTGTGTGTGTGTGTGTGTGTGTGTGTGTGTGTGTGTGTGTGTGTGTTTATTTATTTATTTATTTTTGGCAGAGCCACCCAGCTTGTGGATTTTTAGCTCTCTGAGTAGGGATCAAATTCTGTGCCCTCAGCAGAGAGTGCACAGTTCTAACCAGTGGACTGCCAGTGACTTCCCAGGATGTAATATTTGAAATGGATTAAGAAAACCTCTAAAAACCAAATTAAACTCACAGTTTTATAAAATACTCTTGCTTTAAGTCAGCTGTTCCTGACCAATACTTTATTAATGTTCCAGAATACCTGTATCACTAATGCCTTAAAATTTTATACATTGTTTTCCCATTTTCAAATAGTTCTTGCCCTAGTCTAACTACTCAGATACAATAAAAAACAAATTTCAAGGGATTGGATCTGATACACAAAATGCCTGAAGAACTATGGACGGAGGTTTGTGACACTGTATAGGAGGCAGGGATCAAGACCATCCCCAAGGAAAAGAAATGCAAAAAGGCAAAACAGTTGTCTGAGGAGGCCTTACAAATAGCTGTGAATAGAAGAGAAGCAAAAGGCAAAGGAGAAAAGGAAAGATATTCCCATCTGAATGCAGAGTTCCAAAGAATAGTAACGAGAGATAAGAAAGCCTTTCTCAGCAATCAATACAAAGAAATAGAGGAAAACAACAGAATGGGAAAGACTAGAGATCTCTTCAAGAAAATTAGAGATACCAAGGGAAGATATCATGCAAAGGTGGGCTCAATAAAGGACAGAAATGGTATGCACCTAACAGAAGCAGAAGATATTTAGAAGAGGTGGCAAGAATACACAGAAGAACTATACAAAAAAGACCTTCATGACCCAGATAATCACAATGGTATGATCACCAACCTAGAGCCAGATATCCTGGAATGCGAAGTCAAGTGGGCCTTAGGAAGCATCACTACGAACAAAACTAGTGGAGGTGATAGAATTCCAGTTGAGCTATTCCAAATCCTCAAGGATGATGCTGTCAAAGTGCTACACTCAATATGCCAGCAAATTTGGAAAACTCAGCAGTGGCCACAGGACTGGAAAAGGTCAGTTTTCGTTCCAATCCCAAAGAAAGGCAATGCCAAAGAATGCTCAAACTGTCGCATAATTGCACTCATCTCACA